GAGAGACTCTAGCCCTCTGAACTAAAGACAGATGCCCCAAAGGAACTTTACAAAGGAACATTAGGTGACTGTCCAGGCTGTCAGCTGTCTCTGTCCATCCTGCAAGACTCCTGAAAGTTACATACATTCTTCTCCCATTTCTCGGGTAATATTATATCCTTCTGAGGTCTTTGATGTGGCTAAAGACTAGATAGTTGTAATTCCCTCAGTTATGATAAAAGATAAGTTAGATATAAAACCTTAAACTCACAAATATAAGATAGATAGGACATCTTCTTTAATATTGTAACTGTAATTCTTGCTCAATAACTGTGTTATATGTAATTTTACCATGTTAAAGTTAAAGCCTTCCTTTTTTAAAAAAAAAAAAAAGAAGAAAAGGGGAAGTGCTGTGGATATCACTCTATATAAATAAAACACTGATGGCCAGTGACCAGACAGGAAGTATAGGCCGGACAAGGAAGGAGAGGAAGACACTGCAGCCACTGCCAGGATAAGCAGCATGTAAAGTACCGGTAAGCCACAAGCGACGTGACAAGGTATAGATTTATATAAATGGGTTAATTTAAGATATAAGAACAGTTAGCAAGAAGCCTGCCACAGCCATACAGTTTATAAGTAATATAAGCGTCTGAGTGATTATTTTATACGCGGATTGTGGGACTGCAGGGCTTAGTGGAACCTGGAGAGAAGCCCTCCAGCAACATTCCTGCCCTTGAGTTCCTTCTCCTCCTTCTGCAATGTTCCCTAAGCTCAACAGGCAGTGGCATACACATCTTGCTTAGGGCTGACAACGCGAACGTCACTCACTCTCAACACCTTAAGCAGCCACGATTCTCTGCTTTTTACCAGTTTGTTGCAAAAAGAAGCTTCTTTGATTCAAGATGGGAGTACCAATTGTCTGTGGAGTACAAACATAAATATTTAACATGCAGTTTGGTGCAATGACAGTTTAGCTTAACAACAGCACATTACCACCTAGAACATATGACCCTACATCCACTGAGTTTTGAACAGGTTTGAAAACTCAGGCATGTATTCCTTCTGGTGGAGAGAGCCTCAAAAACAGACTAAGACTAAGTCAGTTACCCCCACATCAGTTGTGCCCCTATGGCACCAGTGCACTGCCTTCTTCTTACAAGAACACTAATCCTGTTTTGAGGCCCATACCCCAATGACCTAGTCAACTCCCAAAGGCCCTAACCTCAAATGGTACCATATTAAGGTCTAGGACTTCAACACATGAATATTGAAGGAACAAAGAAATTCAGTTTGTGGCACTGATTGACCAAAAATCATTCCTAGACAACCCAGTAAATGACATGTGAACATGAGAAAGTAGGTATCAAAGAGTGATCCAAGAATCCTACATAGGATTCCATAGAATCCTACATAGCCCATGAATGGTCTCTGAGTTAGGTAAAACAGGTATCAGTGGTTGTCTTAGAATTTTTATTGCTGTGACAAAACACCATGATCCTAAGCAACATGGGGAGGGAAGCGTATATTTCAGATTAATAATCTCAGGTCACAGTCCATAATCAAAAGAAGTCAGGGTAGGTACTCAAGGCAAGAACTGAAGCAGAGACCACGGAGGAGTTCTGCTTATTGGCTTGCTCAGCTGGCTTTCTTACCTAGGGGTGGCACTGCTGTAGTGGGCTAGGCCCCCCCACATCAATCATCAATCAAGAAAATGCACCAGAGTCTTTTGTTTTTCCATATGAAGTTGAGTATTTTTCTTTCCAAGTCTGTGAAGAATTGTGTTGGGATTTGATGGGGATTGCATTGAATCTGTAGATTGCTTTTGGTAAGATTGTCATTTTTACTATGTTAATCCTACCTATCCATGAGCATGGATAGGTAGGATTTTCTAATATCTTCTTCAATTTCTTTCTTTATGGATTTAAAGTTCTTATCAAAAAGGTCCTTCACTTGTTTAGTTAGTGTTATCCCAAGGTATTCTATATTATTTGTGGCTATTGTAAAGGGTGATGTTTCTCTGACTTCTTTCTCAGCCCTTTTATCATTTGTGTATAGGAGGGCTACTGATTTTTTT